CTGCCTTTTTTCTTTAACAGTAGCATTGCTGCTTGTGGATCGCAACTCCATTGTTAATGATAATTATGGAAAATTAGGAGGTTTGTAGGTTAGTAGTATGGTTAAGGTAATAGTGAGTCAGATATGAAGCCTGCTTCAATCTTGTTGTGTTGTTTTGATGCTTGTTTAGTTGTAAATTACTGGAATCCACACAGGGTACAGTTATGTGCTCTCCCAATCCAGTATATTATCAGTTAATTGTGATTGTTGTTATTGTTATTGTTATTGTTGTTATTATTAGTGTGTGAATATTTTGATAGAAAAACTGATTAGAAAATAAGTTTGAACGGGTTTGGCTTTGTTATTAAAAAAATATAAAAATTTGATTGGTTGTTTGTTGGGTGTTGATCTTTTGATAGGATAGAACTGAATAGGGTTTTTGAGTTAAGAAAAAAAAAATTTTTTTGTAATAGAGTGATAAAGTGATACGTATTGTTGTTTTTAATAAGAAAAGAAAGAGAAAAAAGATAATAAATTTTTGAAGGTTGTGTTAAGACAAACATTAGACCCGGTAACTTTGTTTAAATGTATTGTTAAAGTTGAATTTGTGTTATAGAGAGTTGAAGGTAAAAGGAAAAACGGTTATCATGGTTATAAAGAGAAAGATACCTAAAGACAAAAAATTATGAAAGAAGGCTGCCACGGGCCTTTCCCCATGCAACCAAGAGCTAAGAAAAACTCACAACTTGCTTAGGTCTTGATCAGAGATCATATCCCAATACCACAATGTTCCTTAAAGTTTTTATGTCCTTTGGATTTAAAATGTATTTGCCTTAGAAAATAAAGAGAAAAAGATGCTTCTTGAAAGAAAATTTCTTAAAAAGAAAATTTTCAAAAATCAGCGATGAATGGGTGTGAGTTTTTTTTTTTTTTTTCTTCTTCTTCCTTCACAAGTATATATAACTTTAAGTATAATACTAATAAATAAAAAAATAATATTTATCTATTAAAAAAAAAAAGTAATAAAAAGTTAAACAAAAATTAATAAATTAAATAAGTTTAATAAAGGTTAAAACAATATTAAACTAAAATTTAAACAAGAATATTAAAATTATTAAAATAAAAATAATAGTACTATATTATATTAGTAATTTTAAAAACTAATAATAACAAATAATCAAAATAATTAAAATTAATCTTTATAATATTTTAAATATATTTTTTATAACAAATATAATTATAATAAAATCTAGTAAATAAGTAATTTAAACCATATATATAATAGAATTATTATGTAACAATAAAATTATAGATTTTTTAAAAAAACTCTCTTCTAATTATGTTTGTTTTGTTAAAAAAAATTTTTTTATAGTAATTTTAAACAAGAAAAAATATTTTATACTTTTTATTGCAAGTAAAATTTAGCTCAAGAACTTAAGAATTTTTAAAACAACTGGTGCAATAAAATAGAACCTCTGATTGAAGTCTATTTAAGTTTGAAAGTCTTGCTTATTCTTCAGTTGCATAAGAAAAAACCTATAGCAGTTTTCTTTTTTTTTGTTTTCTTACATACTGTATATCCTTATCCTTATTATATTATAAAGACTATTTATATCAATATTATTATATTTGCTAAACAAAATATCTTCCAAAAAACATATTCAAACAAAGTTGTAAAACCTAATATTTGTTTTAAGTCAATCTTCATATATAATATTATTGTAATAATATTTGCTGTACTATTTTAAAATTTTCAAAAAATTCTATTTAAAAAATCAAAATCTATTTACCCTTTTTAAATAATCATTGCTCTCCAATCATTCAATTAAATTTCATTAAAACAATAAATCAAAAATCAAATCTGTTTAAACTAGTTTTTTAGTACAATAATAATAATAATAACAACTCTAAACAATGTCAATTATACTATAATTTTTTTGTTATTAAAGTATATATCAACAATTGAAGAACTTAGTAGACTTTAGTTTTTATAGCCAGGCAAGGAGTTACTTTAAAAATATAACTTTTATTATCAAAAATCTTATTGTTTACTTGATTTAGTTTTAGCTTCAGTTATTTCATCATTGTATATATTTTTATTTGTTATGGTTGCTTTTATTTTTTTTTTGAATTTTCATATATTCAAAAAATCAAAAAAATTTGTAAAACTTCTTGAGTTGATAAGTATAACTGTTACTTAACTTTATTTAATACTATACATGTTGCTGAAATTCATAGATCCTTAATGCAATTGACATAATTATTTGACGTAATTAATTGAGTCACTATTAAAACATAAATAATTGAGTCATGATGTAATTATTTTTGAGGATTTTAGGAATTGAGTCAACAGCAAAATAATTTATGTCACATGTATATCTAATACCATAATATTGCTTTTAAAATTTTTTATAATATTAATTAAATAATGTTAAGTGGACAAGCTAGTATTTAACTTTCTGAAATAATGAAAAAGATAATGTTTCTTTTATGATATATACTTTGTTATATACAATATCAAATAAGGAAATGATATTTATTTATAGAAAAAACCCTTTAAAAAACAAAATAAAATTATAAAATTTTTTTTTCAATTGTAAAAATTTTTAAATTTTTATTATATATAAAATTTCTTTAAAATAAAATATTTTTTGTTAAAAATTTGTAAATAAGCTAGATATAAAGCAAATTAAATATAATTAAAGTTCAAAATAGATTTATTAATTTAGTTGTTATATAATAAAAGATTCTATCCAATATATAAATATATCTATATAATATTTAAATAAATATATAGTTAAGTTAAAGATAAATTAAGTTAATTGTTATTAACAATAGTTAATAGGTAATGTTAACTCTATTAATATAAATAATATTTGATATATAACTTAGATGCTATTTATTAATAAAAAATATATATTTGTTATATGATTTGTTTCTTTAAAAAAATAATAATAAAATAAAAAAACAAAAAAAAAATACAATTGTTAAAAAAAAATTTGTTATCAAAAAAAGTATATAGATTTTATTATTAAAGTATATAAAGATTTTTTAGAAATACAGCATCTATTTTTTAAATTGATAAGAAAATTAATTTCAATTTTTTTATTGCTATATTGTTTTTTTTTATAAATATATATAATTTCTATAAATTAAAGAATTTTATATAAATTTTATTAAAACTCTTTCTGCTGATTCATTTATCAATCCAAAAAACAGATATTTTCAAAAGATTTTATATCTTTCTGATAATAAAGTCTATATACTTTTCTTAATAATACTGGTTTCCTAATTAGCAAAGTGAGTAATAACTACCACTTGTTTTTCTTTTCTTTTTTAAACACCTTCTTATATATTTTTGCAACTAAATACAAGAAACATATCCAAAAGATTTATGATAAGAACATCTTTCTAGAAAGAAAACTAATAAGAAAAAGTACTTTCCAAAGATCTCTAGAAGATTCAAAAGTTCAGAGAAATAAAAAAAAAAAAGCCTTTAACCTTTATATTATCCTTATGGCTTCCTACTTCTTTTCTCTCAAGCAGGTCTCATTTTTTCTGATTTTTCTAAGGAATTTTGCTTACTTCAATTTGACCCTGAATTTTTGGTTACACCAAACTTTTCTGCAAGATAATTGGTCAAGGTCACAGATTGGTTGATCATATCAGCCACAGAAAAAGTAAACAAGACATGTTTTCTCATATATTCCAAGTTATATAATACCAAATCGATAATATAATTGGCTCCAGAAAGAGTTGAATAGTTTTTTAGTCAAAGGAGTAGTAAGAAAGTTTTGGACAAAGGTTGAAATTGTAAGTGGAGAATATAGTTCTGAAAATTGAAATCGAACAGAATCACAGGGAATCACATAAGATTCAGAACACTATTAAAAATAATAGTGGGATATACTCCACTTATTAAATTTAATATAAACTTGAAAATCGAATACAGAATCAAAAAGAATCATTAGGATCCTTAGTGGAGAAGAAATAATCACCTTTTTGTTTTTCTCTTTTATTTACTTCTTTTCTTTTTCTATTCTACCTAAAGGACTGTAAATAACTATAAGATTCAAATCCTATCCCAATCTGGCAACAAGTTGAAGCAATAATGTTTATTCTGAAAATGGTTGGAAAAAGAGATTTTGAAACTATCCACTGGTTGAGCAAAGCAATAATTCCAGAAAGACATGGCTTGGGTAAGAAATCAACAATAGAAAACCAACATCCTTTCTGGTCAGAAGTCTTCAAGTATAAAGTTTCAAGAAATACTCTCCAGAAAGTGTCCTTAAACATTCTTGAATATTGCCTGCTTTAATGGAAATTAAACAGTCTAACTGACCATAGGTGGTAACAAGTGAGTATTTATAAAAGATCTGGATTTTGTCTACTGAGATATCATTTCAATGATAAATAGAATAGATGATAGCTTTTATTTCTTTTTTTATATTATTTTATTTGTACACATTTGTGTTGTTTTTTCTATCCTTATTTCTTTTTTATCTCTTGCCCCTTGCATAGTTTCTGCATAAGGGGAACAACACAATTTGAATTTATGGTTGTGACTATAGAGGTGATTTGCAAGCTATAATTCTCATGGCATAACTGGATCTTAATCCTAACCATCAGGCTAACAATGTATCACTCCCATAAATCGTATCTAGAGGCTTAGGCTTAAGATGAATGAGCTAGATCAAGGAAATTTGTACTTTGCATGTATTCTTGTGTATGTAATGGTTCTTTATGATTTAATAAATATATGACACCAGTCTAATTGCAGGTTAAAAATATATATATATATATACAGTATATAAATTTTATTAAATTTTTATTTAGTTCTATTACTTAAATATTAAAAACTTTTATTAATTGTTAATTATAGTCCTTGCGTTATATATAAATGTTTATTACAGTATATTAAAAAAACGTGAGTTATCGGCCAATAAAATAAAATATAAAACGATGATCAATCGGATATAAAAATACGTAAGTCCTTGGTTTTTTTGGTTCTTTCTTCAAAAATGTCGGACACATCAATTCAAAAGTTGCCCAATCTCGAACTGGCCCATTATCGTTTTATTCTGAATAATCCCAAAACCCCCGAACACCATGAAGAAGCAAAAAATAATCTGCTAGCCGCGATCGAGGAAAATAGTAGGATATTTTCTTTGTTTGTTTTCGTTTTTCGGCTCATGTATTTTTTTTACAAAGTTGGCATAGTTTTAACAGCATTTCCATGATATATAAAGAAATGGCGCCATTTTACCAACTCATCGCGGATGAAGTTAAAATCCCCCTCGATAAAACTTTACTTGCCAAATATCAAGAAGCAAATAAAGAAGAGTTACAGAAGTTAGACGAAAGGTTTCAAGACGCCGAGAAAAATCTCGGAGAAACAGAAATCAGCGATGCTTTATTAGCCAAGGCTGATTACTTTGCCAAAATTGGGGATAAGGTTAAAGTTCATCTATAAATATGTTTAGAATATCGACTCAAAACCTCGATAGTTCCTTATCACGATGCCCCTCAATCATAGGAAAAAGCACTCTCCGGATACGGTGCAGCATTAGACAAAACGGCGGGATTAGGATCCCGAATTGACATAATCTTTTCCTTTGTGCGGATCGGTTTTTTCTTTAATGATAACGATATCATCAGTCGTAACATAGAGCGGGCAAAAAGGTAAATTTGATTTTTAAATTCTATCTGTTGCAAGAGAAAAAAAATTTCTCTCCATTGCGTTTCATCCAACTCACCACAGCATGATCGAGGAAGGTGGCGATTGGGATCGACGAAATCGCCTTAAAGTGTATGAGGGGATCTATAGGTTATCGATACGCGATTTCAAGACGGCCGCAAATTTGTTTCTCGATACACTTTCAACATTCATGTCGACCGAATTGATGGAATACAAGACTTTTATAAAATACGCCGTTTTGGCAGGTGCCATCTCCCTCAGCAGAGTAGATCTGAAAAAGAAGGTTTCTTTTTTCCCCAATTTATGGTGAATTTCCACTTCCGAGCACTCCAAATTTATTCGATATTTTTTCAACAGGTGATTGATGCACCCGAAGTATTAGAAGTCTTGCACGAGATACCACATTTGGAAGATTTTATCACATCTCTCTACAACTGTGAATATGCGAAATTTTTCCAAGCCCTTGGTAACCTCTCGAAAGTTGAAAATTATGTTATGTAGCATACATATTTTACAAATGTAAAGAAAAAAAATCTCTTTTTTTCCCAAAGCTGATGTAGAACGAAATCATCTTCGCACCTCAAGATATTTGTTCTCACATTTACGGTATTACGTACGTGAAATGCGCATAACTGCGTACGCACAGCTTTTGGAATCATATCGTTCGCTCACCATGGAAAGCATGGCAAATTCGTTCGGTGTATCGGAGGAATTTATCGACAAGTAAGGATCAAATTCTTTTCCCCCCTAAAAAACACGCATTTATTAGATGTTGATTTGATTTATTGTCATTTGTTTTCTTCCTTAGTGACGTCTCCAAGTTTATCGCTGCCGGACGACTTAACTGTGTCATTGACAAAGTAAATGGAATTGTAGAGACCAATCGGCCTGATGCAAAGAATGCGCAATATCAACAGACAATTAAACAAGGTGATATCTTGTTAAATCGTATCCAAAAGTTATCTAGGGTCATCAATGTATAGATAAAGAGATGTCACACTCGGAATTAATATTAACCACGACGGACAAATATCTCCTGAATCATCTAATATACATCATTACAATGTCATTTTTTATTATATCGAATAAAGCGACATATGCTTAGAATTAGGTTATACAGTTGATATTTGATATGGGTGTAACAGGTCAAATTTAAACCAGTACATTTCAATCCTGTTTAAACTCATAGAAAGGATTTGCGCCTAGATATTCTTGCTTGTTATCTCCAGAGATAACAAAAATTCGTTCAAGGTGGGGCATAAATTCCGAGGTTGGTAGATATAGCTCAAAATCCAGTGATGCAAAAACCGAAAATTCCTGTTCCGTAACTTCTTTAGGCGTCACATCCAAATGCTTGTGTAACGACTTTAAAAATGAGAAGTGGTGATTAACGAGTTATTCACCGATGCGCGTGCGGTGTACTCGTAAGAAATCAAGAATATCTCACCTCCAACAAGGGCGAATAGGACATTCCCATCGGTTCGTTCACTTTACTGGCCAGTAGTAAACAGATTGCTACATTGAAGAGAAAAGATCAGTGTGAAGTCGATGTGAGCTTTAATATATATATATATATATATATCGTGTAATACCTCCGATCAACCTCCGGTTGGATTTGTTCACAAATTTCTATGAATAAAATAAAATAGAAAATAGTAAAATACCATGTTGAGCGCACACACTTTCATCGAAAGAGATAAACGAACCTTAAATATCAATTTTTCAAAGTAGGCATAAGCTTTTGCGATCGTCGAGATCTCCAAGTCCAACTCCTGAGTTTAAGATAAAATAGGGATGAATTTAGCATCAAACATAAGAAATCAGACATCCACTATGAAAACGTACATCATGTCTAGACGTGGCCAATAACTTTGCTTTCACTTTACGGATTTGGCTCAGGGTCAGACTCGGATCAACGTTTGGGTGAGTTCTACGAAAAAGTTCATTTGATTCACGTTTCAGATCAGATGGTCTGGTGTTATGATTTATCAGGGAACCCTAATTTTCTGAAGATTAGTCTATCATCTACAGATTGATTTCATGATTCAAGGGTAAGAAGAACGAACCACAAGACCGGAAAAACTTAGAACTGCTCGATGCTTATTTGATTTTTGATCTTGCGAATTGTTAGGCGATAATTCAGGATTATCCAATGATCTAGGGTCATATTCCGTGAGTCCCAGCTCGGGTCTGCAGAGGAAATAAGTGGAGTTAAGTTTCCAGTTAAACTCGTAAGACGAAATATGTGCACACGATAACCATTTACCCCAATGAATTGCTAGGCTCCAAAAGATAAGCAAATGACTCTGCCTAATAAAAATGTTATTAATGAGTCGGGTCAAAAAAATTATGAACAAAAGGGAATCCGTAATACATATTCTATTCACCTTTCGTCTCCTGGTGGAATCTGCATCTGTTTCTCCTTTCCTTTTAGGATATCCAAAAAAAAAAAAAAATGAATAACAATAACTTCAAAGACAACAGCGAAGTTCGGTGACTTGATAATTATGTTACATACGAGTGACCGCGACGTTTTTCCTGTTTTGATTTCTTGTCGTTATATCCAAACATCGAAAGAATAACCTGGGGTGCCTTTTTGCAATGAAAATCAAGGATGTTAGCAAATGCCATCCTGATCAAGGCGTAAGTTGGAACATCGAATTCTGAACTCACCGAAGAACTTGAGAACAAGTTATTGGAGTTCTTACGACCAACGCTCTGGTTATTTACGTTGTTATTATTAGCAATGATGGTGTCACTCGTCTTTGGTGGTGAATGACTTTGACGACGAAATAGAGATGCATTGTCGAACGAAGTAGGAGAAGTTATAGAATTGGCAGAAGATGAGCTTGATTCTGATTTTAATGTGGACGCTATTCCGTGAAATTATTACAGTTATCTTTATTGTCAATACAGCCAAAAATTCATCCAGCAACGAATGCATAGTATATATATCGAAACATCTCAAATTTCGTCGTTGGTGTTTCTTGTAACAATCAGTTTTTCCAAGTATCACACACATGTCTAACGTCTGCTTAAGAAAGAAAGACTCACCTGAACTCCTTCGTCTTCGTCGCTTGCTGTAACCGTCGCTTGGAGAATCGACAACCTTTAAATTTTGATTTTCTCGATTTTCCACGTCCGAGCCTTCGCGAGCTCCCGGTTCTGCAAAATTTTCCTTGCAGGGACTGCTCAGGTTTTCCCTTGAAGGATGATTCGACTTCAATTTCTTGGAATCAAGGCTGGTGTTTGTTAAGAAGAGGAGACTGTTGCTTCTTGAACGAGTCTTTCCAGACAAGCTAAAATCCTGAGTGTGCTCCTTTCCAACTATGGAGGAAGCTTCGGGGTTAGGTAAGCTGTTATTGGACGTTGCCTTACAAGGGTGTCTTTCAAAAGGTAAGGACGTTGCCCTTTGCAGATTTGGTCTACCATTTTCATCAAAAGAATCATTCTCGGTAACAGTAATAGGTGGTAGCTTTGGATCACCAATATAAGGGCTGGGAATAGAGTGGCTGGAAGCAGCCGTTTCCCGTTGAGCACTGGATGGAAAAGAATTTTCAGTTCCAAGACTGATGTTAGAAAGAAAAGTGAGGGCAGCTTGTCTCGAAGAATCTCGTCTACGGGGGATTCGACGAGGTGAGGTCCTGGTCATTGGTAAATTCGAAATTGCTAAGCGTTCTTCGCTCGGGAAAATTTTAAGAAAACTTGTATGGGTATTGGACTATTTTGTGCCTTTACCGGAGTACTGGTGTGTCACATTGTCGCACCGTACTACACATTGATATATTTCCAGTTTCTCTTTTTAGCACAGATCGTCGGATTAGGCAAGTGAAGCATTTTCCGGTATTTGCCGGCCTAGTGTTTCCAAGCATTTGAAAAAAAAAAAAGTGTCGCCAAAAAAATTCAAATTCTTTCGAAGCGACTTTGAAAATATTGACATTTAAATAGGATTCAAGTCACGTATATCTCTTCGCAGGTGAATAACCGATCGTCGATTGTAGGCACATGTTTTTAACTTTTTTTTTTTTAAAAAAAAAAAAAAAGAAAAGACGCGTTCTTTTCCTTGTCATTATGCGAGGGACTACGAAATGTGTTCCGATTCTTCGTTCTCATTAACCTTCTCAGTATCCATAGTGGATAAAAGAAATTCTACTATCTTATCATGATTATTCTGCTGAGCTTCATACATTGCAGTTCTTCCCGCTCGATTCTTGATCTGATTATTTGAACGAGAAAAGAAAATTTTTATTTTATTCAAGAATGAGTCCTTTATTAAAAAATCGAAGTACCTTCGCGTCTGCCCCATTCGTCACCAATAATTCAACCACCTTTTCGTGACCATTCAACGCACCCCAGTGCAGAGGAGTGTTTCCTGATTCATTCTGCGCGTTGATTACGATAACATTCTCCTCCAAAGATCCCACCGTTCTTATGATATATTCGACAACGTCTGTCAAGATATTATTAAGAGAATATCAGTACAAAAGTTTTTCGACAACTTTCTTTTAAAAGAAAGAAGAAATTAATAATATCCACCCGCATGTCCGTTCGCACTCGCCATGTGCAAAGCCGTGTTCCCAAACTCATCTTTGGCCAAGAGATATTCGACAGAAAGGGAATTTATGGTTACCCGCAAATTTTCAAGGTCCCCGTATCTCGCATCTGCTATCACATCGTCTATTACATCTTCGGACAGATTGGTTTTGGCAACAGGCATGATTGACACAATAAGCGAAAAAAAATGCAGTGCCAGGGCATGAATTAAGGCGACGATCCCAGTCGATCTAATCACCAAAATGGTTATTTAATGAAATTCATGAATCCCTCCTTTCTTATATATAACGATTTTCGAAAATCAGCTTAGATAATAATGGCCGGACTAAAGAGTAAATTTTGTTGGTTTCTGTTGTATTCTTTCTGCTTGATTTCAATATAACACAATGTTCTCTCTTTTCACCTCTTTCGGTTCGCATGCATAGCGTGAGTGCAGGGGTTCCTTAGCTGTAGTCATCTCTAACGTGCTGAATCTTTCATTTACAATCTCGGAATTTAATTTTTAGCATTATCACCTTGTCCTTCATACTTGCTTTTGGCTTCCTACTCGTCATTTTATCTGGAGCATTATATCAGTAAGCACTTCTACCAACATTATCATATCTTAACGTCATTTTTTTCCCAAGTTTCTTACTGTTCATATACACCGTTTGCTCTAGGAATTGGTGGCCATTATTCGTTGGTAGGTGATGATGCCCTTGTCTATCACACACTTCTGTTTGTTACGAAGGATTTTCTCACCAGTGATCCTTTAATTTACAACTCTACAGTTGCCACTTTTGTCTTAGCACCCTTTCCAAACATGATATTCTCCAAATGCTCTAGTGGCGATTATTACTATTCGGATAATTATAAGTAAGCAATACACTTGTTATACATGTGATGTATTATATAACGCTAATGACGACGGCAACATTGACAGCGACGGATTCAAAGATTTCGGACACTTCTTGACTTCTATTTTCATAATAACTGGCTTATGTAAGTCCACCCCCGACTCTCTTTAATCGTGAAATGTCATCGTGTGTATTAACCGGGGATTAATTGATATTAGGTTTACCGCTTGTTCTTGCACATTCCGAAGTGGTATGCTATACGATTATTCAGATGTAGGATTCAGGGGTTTCGACTATGGCTTCTTGACTGCTTACATGCATTTATTAGATAACGGTTCCTGCCATGATCCTAAGTATCGGCGGTGGCGTATTGGTCTACTCAACCAGTAATTATATGAAATGACTTCTGATTTTTTATTTCTTTTTATTTTGTTATTTTATTTTATTTATTATTTTATTTTTTTTGTTGACTCTTGTTTTTTCTTTTCATAAACAGTTATTGCCTACACAAAGTTCTTTGCCAATGAGGGTGATGATTTTTAGGGAGAAGTGTCTTTACACAAACACGACTCCTACGATTTCTTATTATTATATCTACTTGGCATATTACGACAATTAATAATTGATTGTCTAATTGAGATGTTCGTTTAACCGCACTTTCATCATCTTGTATTCATCGTCTGTATTTTATCAAATAAACCATTGCACATTTCTTTCTTCTTTATTTTTCAATGCGTCCCGAGTATATTATGTCGATATCGCACTTGATCCGACCCATTGTGTGTGTAATGCGTGTGTGGATCAAGCGCGTCTTTTCAAAATTTCGGTTCCAATGTAAAAAAAAAAAAAAAAAAAAAAAAGGTTGAGAAATAGATCGATACATAAAATATTCGTTTACTTATATTACATATCCGAATTTTCAAATAAAGTAGACAGGATAAAATATATATATATATATTCTTGCTATACACCATATGTCCCGTGGTATATTGAGATACCGCGGTATCTTGATATTGACAAGTCGAAACTCTAGTTCCTCTATCTCCCTCCCCTCAAACTTAGAACATTGATCAACAGAAAACTTAATCGTGTGACACAAGAACACACTCGGATTTAAATACTTATTTCAAGGTTGTTTCTTTTAATCTTGTGTACAGGTAAAAAAAAAAATATACATTTATTTTTATTTTCCATTTTTTTTCTTTTTTTTCAAAAAATTTTTTTTTTAAACAGATCAGACCTTCCTTCAAACAAAATTTAGGTAAAAAAAAAAAAAAGGAGAGAAATATCATTCTTGAGCAGGCTGCATCGTCGGCCTAGCAATACGATCTTCCTTATCCCTGATATACTGTCGTAAAAGCTCCTCCAAGGTGTTGTCTTGCTGATCGACTGCAATCTGCGTTGCTTTTCGTGCTAACTCCCAAATCCAAAGTTTTGCTGCGTCATTGTCTGTCCCCTTCAGATCAGTTCCACCCTTAAATTTTTGCACGGCACTGGCAATATCTCGTGCCGAAAGTTGATGATTCGGATATTTTGCCTTCAATAACTGCCGCTGAGTGGTCACTCCCAAATTACCGTGGAGAGTATAAAATTCGATATCGTCGAGGACAGATTTAGGTAAGTTACGGTTTTTTGTGGATGCTGCTTCTAATACACTACGGTACCTTGGGGACGAGACATTCTGAGTTGTAGAAGACTGCGTTGATGGCCTGGATTCACGTGTTTGCTGAAGGTTGAGTTCATGATTATGCTCATTCACAAAAGTGGTGACGGTTATGTGAGAACTAGTCTTTGGAAAAGAAAGATTGATATGCCACCCACATTCGATGCGTTTTGATGTTCGATTGCGTTGCTCGTGTACTGCTGCTTTCTTCTTCGGAGTATATCTCCCACCATGCTCACAGTCGTAGGTTCTTTTTCTAACCATTCCCATCTCATCTCTTTCGACTCGCTTTTTTCTGACTACGAAACCACGCTCACGTCCATAAAGTTCCAGGAATTCATCAACGTGCTCCCAATTCTGAAAGGTGGTCCCAACAGCCAAGATTATGTTAGAAGTTGTGTTCGCAGTTGGAGGCGTGACAAAAACTCCGTCACTATATCCTCCAGCAGTACCACTAAAACCTGCTGAATCTTGAGGTGAGGAAGGGGACACTGGGGCAATGTCTCTGTGATTAGATCCGTCTTGGTCAACTCCAAGTGCAATTGACGTTGGAGGAATGACTGATAGCATGGTAACCTCCTCACCTCCTTCGAAATTCATGTTTTTCTTTTATTATTTTACGTTATTTGATGGTTTAGTGTGTGAACTCGATGTCTAAAACAAAATCAATCAAAAACAAGACAACAATTAAATAGAGGAAGCCTAGAGAATTGAAATTTGAGTTAACAATCAAACAATTCTCTATATATACCGATATCAGAAGACATGATGATCTGTTTTAGCCAATCAAATTTTGGTAATCACAAGACATTCTCCAGAAATTATCTGTTAACATTTATGGGAATTACTATGTGATAATAAGAGTAGATACTACATCACGTGCCCACGAAAATAGCACTTGAAGAACCATCGTTGTACGCGCATGAGGCATCGCGACAGTGAAAGAGAAAAAAACATGTTCATTCCGATACAATATGAGAAGCGCACGAATTTTCAATATTTGTTGGTTGTCCTTTTCGGCTAATCGAATTTCGTGTACACTACTAAAACATTATGTAGCTTTGAGGGGGGTTTTTTTTTCATCATACAAACAAGTGAACTTTCCCTTTTTCTTTTCTAAGAAAAAAAATTTTAGCCTTCTACCCAATAGAACCATCGTTGCGGTAAAAGATTCAGAGTGCCTTTACTTACGCGTGCATTCTCAAGAATGGACTTCTTCATCAAGAAAACAATAGAATATAACACAGAGACAACTTCACCTAGGATAGAGTGAAAATCAAGAAAATGCTAGTGATGTTTATTCGTACATGAATCCAGAAAACTTCACGGAAAAACCTTCAAGCAGTGGACGTCAAGTGTCTGGGTTTGCACTCATTCTCACTGATGGGTCTTATGAAGACGGAATCAGGTGGGTGATCCTTCTCACCCTCCTCAAATGTATAACTGCTAGCTATGGCCAAGCATGTGCCATCCTTATTAAAGTCCAAACTGGCAATGCTAGTCGGGTATTGAGGATATTGACGAAGGCGTTTCTTGTTGAACCCATCCCATATGTTGACAACACCGTCAGATCCTCCCGAAGCGAATGTACCGTGACTGTCGAAGATCGTAAGATAAACGGGCGATCAGCTAGAACCCTTTAACTGTAAAAAGTTTTGATAGCTACTTACGTAGGATGAAACGCTAACGCATTAACTGGGTATACGGTATCAATACCATCGATAACCCTTCGGTGACACTTGAAGGCGTATTTCCGCGATTGTGCCTCCGGTGAAGGGTCAAAGAATTCTACTGCGACGCGTCCTTCAATTGAACTGCATGCGTAGCCTACATCAAAAATACCGATAAAATTGTATTCAAATATCACAAACCCAAAAGTCTTAACGTACCTTGCCCGTTAGGCATGCATTTGACAGATCGAGTCATAAACTTCAAGCTACTCTCCCGCTTTTGGCGTGTTTCTGACATATTCCTTATATCGTAAATAAAAAATTGCCTCCCGGCAGTCGCAACCACCAATTTGAAAGAGACTAAAGAAATTGCAAAGACCTTTGCATTATAATCCATATTATATACTCCGGTCTGCGCGTCCTTATTACGAACATCCCACAATCGAATAGTCGCGTCCCAGGAACCTGACACGATCAGATCTGATTTTAAACGAATAAACGTTCTATCATTTAATGCGACATAAAAATAAAAAAGATCCAAAATTTCCATGCTTACTGTTTTCTAGATTGTATTCGACACACTTTACGGCTTGCTCATGTGTTCCCACCAGACCTTCGTTGTGCGTATTAATGTCAAAGCTAGTGGTATTCAACGGCGAGTTAGTAACTTGCCAGCTAAGCCAAGGAAACTATGCTTGACAGGGCAAAGCACCTCTTTACACAATGATCTAATCCGGCGCTGTACACGTGGGCACCGTCAGAAAAACAACAATCAAGAACAGCCGCTTTGTGATTATAGGAGCCTCGAAGTAAGTTTTCCTCGACATCGTATAACTTTACGGTCTAGAAAGTTGATGTTCGCGATCAACAAAAATATGAAAAATAACCTCAAGAATGATTATAATCTATACCTTATCCCATGATGATACTAATAAATGATTAGAGGTGGTAGGACTAAATACAACAGAAGAGATAGCGTCAGAGGGTGGGTCGAGCAATTCGAATTGTTGCATAGTGGTAATGGTCGTTCTGTGAAGATGCATCCGCATATTTATCAGATGGCTAATCGGGTCTCATTGGTCCGATGTTTGCTTTACTCACCAGTCACTGTAGGTTGATTTCTTTCATTATCAAGGACATTTTACATCTCCCATTTCTTTGGCTCAGGTACAGTACATTAAGGATAATCAATCGGCAATCAATGGACGACAAAGAATTTCGATTCGATTCTTATTTCTTTCTTTCCTTAAAGATATTGCATACATATAACATTGAAATTTATCATGTTTCTTATTCAAAGATTTTTAAAATATTATTATTATAAAAGAAAAAAAATTTTTTTTGTTAATTTTAGAAAGTTAGAAGAAATCAAAAAACAAAACTTGACAAAATCAAATATCATTACTTTTAAATTAATTAACTTTTTTTAAAAAAAATAGAAATAAACTTTTATAATAATAAAAAAATTAATAATAATTGACAAATTATCTTTTTATCTTATTTTTGATTCATATACAGTAGCTATAGAATCAAAGAAAATATACTTTCTAATAAAGTTTTAAACTGTTATTTTTGATTAATACAAATCATTAAATAATTTATTAAATAGTACATATACTTAAGATTACTAAATGATTTTGTTATTTATTTTTTCTATATATTAAATCTTTTTTTTTCCTATAATCAAACAAGTATATACTGTTTATTAAATCTTTATAAAAAACAAATATGTAATATATAATACATTGTATTGTATAAACTATTCTACTGTCTTAAATACTTGTTTTTAACTAATGTTTTTAAGTATTACTTTGAAAATAAATAGAATTGTTTTCTTTAATATCTATTTGTTTATAGAGTTTTATAATAAAGATAATTATTTGCAATTTATTATTATAGTTTATCTAAGTAAAATCTAAATTACTTTTTATATTTCTTATTATTTTTTTTCTTTTTTAATCTATTTCATATTGATATTTTATCTTGAATTGAATAAAAATTAAAATCTTCTACGTATATTATCTTTTTATAAAGTCTTTAAACCTATTTCTTCTTGTTTTTAGCTTTTGATTTTCTTTTATTTTTTCTTATATTATTATTATTATTTTCTTATATCTATATCTTTTTGATTTTATACTTAAGTCTTGTAATTTGATACATCTGTCATTTTATATCTTTTTTTAAACTTGCTTGCAAATAGTTTTAAGAATTTTTTTGATAAATGCTTTGTTTTACTGGTTTTAATTTTGATTTTTATTATTAATTATATTTATTTTATATCTTCTTTTAAAAAAAGTCCTAAATATATATTTATATTATCTCTATTTATCAATAATTTATTTTTATAATAAATTTTATATAATAATTTATTTGTTTTATATTTTTTTTCTATAATTTCCAGCTATTTGTTAAATACTTGATCTTGAATTTTATTCTATATTTTTTTATAATTTTTAAAATACTAATATAGAAAAGAAGATATTTGAAGGATTTATTTTCTTGTTAACAATATAGATAATTAGTTAAGTTTTATATTTTTTAAAAAATCTTTTAATCATATTATCTAGTATTAATAATTTATTATATATTATATTTATATGAAAACCTTTTTTCCTAACTTGTTTAATTAATATTTCTAAAATTTTTTCTATTTTATTTACTTTTCAAAAAAAATTTTAATTAAAAATTTCTTGATTATTTATTTTTTTGAACCATTTTTTTTATATTTAATTTAAATTTATTTACTTTGTTTTTTTTTTTTTTTTTTTTTTATCGCAAACAGGCATTAAATGCGAGACATTTATTAAACATGGTTTATCGTCATTA